TGGAGTATGAGTTATTTTGCAAATTTCTTCAGCATGCACTTATGTATGTTAAAGAAGATACGTTGCCTCTCATTCTGCCTGCCAGTGGCTTGGCTAGGTATTTAGCTTGAGACAGTTCTACGTGTACTTCAGAAATGGGATACCAGAAAGGATTGTGCTCCTGTAAACAGAATTTATCCTATTGGATGGTCTTGGCTGGATGTCTTCTAACACCCATGGCTGAAGCTGCAACATTTCATATAACTGCTCTTTGAGTCTGAAAATAAACAAAACCAATCTTCTAGCATGGAAACCTGCCTGCTTGGATTTAAATATTTGTAGATAGTGAAACAAGAGTAGAGATTGACATTATTTCTACCAGAAGTCAAATGGCTGTTGGAAAGGCTAGGGAAAGTTGGAATTAGACTTAAGTTTCCTATTTTTTGAATGGATGTGCTTAAATCCAAAGCTACCATTATCTTCTTATACTATTAAGGCTTTAGCACATGTCATTTTATTTATACTAAGTAATTTTTGGTTTTATTTTGGAAAAGTTTACATTGGACTAAATATTTGGGAGGAGGAGGGAGTTTTCCATTGGAGTGAGGAAAAAATAATTCTCAAAATCTGTTTCAGTGCAAAAAGCTTTTTCAGTACAACTTCCAAACCTACAGATATCTTTTTCTACAACTTGCATTATTATGCTAAACTTGGACTCCTAAAGACATTTAATGTAATAAAAAATGACACTGTAATTTAAAAAATGGCATAGAGAATTATCAGGGCACACATTAGGTAAATTAAAAGCTGGCTCAATGAGGAATCAAAAACTAGAGTTTCTAATGGAAAGGTGTAGATGAATCGGGCTCATTAGGTTCTGATAGGTCTGGATAATTGTTGGGAAGGACAAGTTGAAGTTATTAAATGATATTAATCCCCTGATATAATGGCCAAATTCCAGTAAAATGCACTTTATTATAACCAGATGAAGTATATTTGAAGGAAATGAAAAATATCTGGCACCAGAGAAACATATCTGTCTCTGCTACAGAATAATGGGGCTTTGTCCTGGAAAGCAGTGACCTATTGGATTTAGGATGATCATAGAAGATCATCTCAGTGTGAGCTCTCAGCATAATGCTGTCACAAAGAAGGGTATTCCATTTCTTGAACACTTAAAAAGCTAAGGAACAAAGTAATTATTCCACATCATATCAGTAAAAAACTGTGGGTTTGGTGTCTTACCATTAAGACAGATTGGAATTACTTGAGAGATTTCAGAGGATGATTAAAAATGACCCAGGCTTTGGGAAACCTTGTTAGGAGTTTGCCTCACATAAAGGCATTCAGCCAGGAACCTCAGAGATGACTTGGTATCTGTAGGTAGACATTTAAATAAAAAAGATTCAACTCATCAAACTGTGACAAAGGAAATTAAATCCTCTGTCCTAGCAACCAGGAGCCTTAAGCATTGTAAGCAAAAGTTAAGGGAGGCAATGAAGTTGAAGCCATTAAAACTAGGTGATTGGACTTTCTAAATGACAAATTATAGATAATCCAGGGAAAGATTCTGTGGGCTCTGTACAGGTGTATGGGAGGTCAAGCTAGATGGCCGCATTTCTGTGACTTTTATTCTAAGATTTATTTTAGTGATTTTAAACAGCAAAACTCCCCCTACCCAGTTGTTTTTATTATCATAACTTAGTCCCTGGGATATAAAAATCAATTATTTGAGAAGGCAGGGTGCCTCTGGGTAAAGTAATGGCAGTCCTTAGTGATTCAAAAATATACACCTGGGAAATATGAGATATGAAAATTTGGATTAATATTGACCGTAACAAAGATACTGGTGAAATACGGTTAAACTTTACTGTACTCTAGATAGTAGTAGAAGTCAGTAGACTTCAGAGCACAAATATGTTTGTGCTAATTTTATCTGTATCAAAAGTCAACAGATGTAATAGCAATGATGAATATTTTGCTTTTAAAATATTCTGGTGTTTTTAATTCAAAAAACATTTGCAACTGGAGTTCTAAGCTTTTTTGAAATTCCACAGAGTTCTATGTCTTCTATAAACCACTCTGGATAGATATACATAGAAGTTCAACAGACAATCATCCTTGCTCATCACTAAAAAAACTGTACTAAGCTTTATTAGAATTTTTTTCAAAACTAAGAATATAAATATATATTTGTTTACATATGTCACAATAAAAATACTCCACTGGCAGTATAGTGAAACAACAGGCTCTAAATATTGATACAAAAACTTTTATTTGAAACACAAATTATAGTGTATGTGTTGAAAGACAGGTTGTTTAGTATTGTACTGTTAAAAGATCAGTCTAAAGGACATAATAAAAAATAATAAACTTTTAGGAAAGTAAAACTCTTCTCTAATATTAAAGAATTTCATAGAATAAATAAACTAAAGCTTTTACTGACTAATCACTGACAAGCAGTTAACCAGCTTGCCATTGTAGCAAAGAAATTTCTTGCCATTATAGCAAAGAAATGTAACTTTTTATTGAGAATGCAGCCTAATTTATTGCATATTGATGAAGAAACTTTAATTAAACACTTGATTTGGTTTTGATACTTTTCACTCAATTTGTTTGAATGCAAATAACTCTATGAAGTGCAAGACCAGGGTACAGCAAGCAGGGAGTACATTCTTTTGCATCAAATAAGGCCTTGAAAGTCTTTTGGCTCCATAACTGACTGATGCAGCAGAAGAGCCAGATTGTGGCAGAAAACAGAAAAGATATGGAATGCTTGACTATAATTCTGGGGTGTAAAAATGACCAGGAAGTGAAGCATCTATGAAAGAAATCTGTTTTCTCTATTTTGCCCAGTATTCTCCAAGCTCCTTATTGACATCCTATTGACATCAACGTGTTTCACAAGGCAAAGATTTATTCTAAGTCAAAAGTATAGAAACTCCTCTTTATCATGAGAGGAAGGATTTCAAATTCAAGTAAGAAAAGCTCTGTAATGGAAAAAGTTAAGATTTTGTGACTGTTCTTGACCCTGTCAGAGGGAAAAATCCATGAATTTGGAGATCGGATGAGAGGGAGAAGAGCGGAGGGTTGATTCTTCATATGTGACTTCTGTTCATTTTGTTTAAATCTTGTTTGGCAATGCATAGTGCCAGTGTGAGTGTTACAGCAAGATCTGGGCAAAGCGTATTTTCTCTGTGTCTTATTTCCCTGATCTCTGAAGTGGAATGATAAAACGTGATAACTGACAGGAGAGCTATGAAAAATCACTAGTTAATGTTCCTAAAATGTGTCGTGAGTCTCGTCCCCAGTTCTAATATCTGTCTGTATTTCTTTCTGTTGTGATTTCACTAAATTTAAAATGGTTGTAGTTTTTAAGTTGTCTTCCCCCAGCCAGTCAGTGGTGGCTTCTGGCTTATATTAAGTGCTTTTAAAACTACTGTTATTTCCTTTTACATTGGGGAACTCAGCATGTCAGGGTATGACTCATGTCACCTACCTTCAGCTGTATAACACTGAGAGAGTCTAGTCCAAGCTGTTTGTTCTCTGAAGTAAAGAGAGAAAAAAGGCACCTCAGAGGACAACTAGAGATCTGTCTTACTGGGGAGCTGAGATGGGTGCACTGAATCCTATCACCTCTTCAGGCTGCCCTTCAACTCTTGCATCTCTCCTTTGGTGTTTTTCTGTCTCATGACAGCTGAAAGTTGATTTGATCTTGCTAATATATTTTCTCAGTCAAGAATTCCATAATGGATATGAGGTAGCATGCAATATATTTTCTGGCTGGCATTCCATTTCCTTCTGCAGTTAGGAGGGCCAGTCCTTGGATTTTCTATGGGTAACAATCACAAGAAGAATCTGCAAATGAAGCAGGCTTACATATATTTGCACATCTTTACTCCACCATAAGACAAGTTTGTTACTTAAAGATCAAACTGTGACAGAGCTTGAATATCTGCTAAATGAAACACCTCCAAGGAAAACAGTTGTTAAACACTAGGTATAAATGGCTCCAAAAAAATCATATCAAGTTAATAAAGGATAAGAACTGTTCATAAGATTTCCTGGGCTTTATTTCTTGTTAGTTTTGTTATTGTTGCTGTTGTTGCAGAGGTTTTCATGGTATGTACCTTTCTTTGTTGAATATGAGTACAATATCACATATAAAGTCCAGGCTTTGTCACCTGACAAAGTGAAATTTATTTCAATTGTATTTACTTAATTAGCTGGAGATAATGGGAATAAGTTTTTCCTGCCAAGTTTGTTTAATCTCCTGAAGAGGGCTTGCATATTTATATGTTCAAAAGGAGTGAATAAATGTGAAGCTGCTGTGCCTGATTCCCTTCAGTGTTAAAAAAAGACAAGGTGAAGGTAAAATACAGACCTTTATGCATTCAGCTGTGTAATTAAATGTGGTTGTTGTGTTTATTTCCAGTTTATAACCCTGATTCTGTAACTGAATTTATGCAATAGATCCAGTTACAGCATTACATCTTTTACAAACACAGGAGGGGGCAGGTTGTGTTACAGTTAGCAACATTTGCAAAACAATCCATTTCAATATGCATATGTAAATATTTGTAAAAGCTAAATTTCCATTTTGCTTCAGGGAAGTTTTTCAACCTGAACATAACCAGAAATTAAAACATTGCTATCTCAGCTTATCCGATTCATCACAGTTGCATATTTTGTTCAATGCTTTTTAAAAGAAGGGTTATTTTTGCAATCTATTACTGGTATTGAAAAAGAACCAGCAGAAAAAAACCCTTCAAAACACTGAATAATTGGAACAAATAATATAACTAAAGAAGCTGTTATTTACTTCTGAATATTTTAGAAATAAAAAAGAATTGAGGTCCAACAACATACTGATCCATCTTGCTTATTTAACTGTGAATTTAGCATAATGGAGAACTTTTACAAAATGTGAACACAATGAAGGATTAATTTTCCCTTTTATCCTATTTTGTGTACATTACATTTTAGCCCTAATTTCTGTGTTTTTCTGTTTGATTTCACAGGTTTGTGAAATCAGTGGGATTATTGAAGAACAGTTTAATTAAAACAAAATTATGATCAAAACTACACCTGAAAATTTACTTTAGTTTATACATATTGATTTTAATTAAAGTTATTTTTCTAGTGTCAGCAGTACATGTATAGAAGTGCTCTGATATGTGGATACTGTAATGCTCTGAATCAGAGTATTTACTGTGGTACTGTGGCCTTAGGAAAGAAGGGTAACTGTCACCTTTTAGTTTTTATAAAGTTACTATAATGTTTTGTTTAGTTTATACCCCAGTTATTTTGGATTGCCATTTGATAAACTAAACTCTGCCTGACCAAAATAAACTTTGCCTAAAGATTTTATGTATTTTAACTTGTCTGAGGTTTTCTACTCCTTATATTTTTGTAATCTTTACTCTTTTTTAGATTAATAAACATAAAGTATTTGCCTGCATCTGCCAATATATATGTCCCATTCAGGTCTCACAGAGAACTAGCTGTTCACTCATAGTCACCTGCAGAGAGAGGTCAGAAGGGGAAGTGAGTGAAAGGGTGCGGGCGTGTGTGTGAGTAGCAGAAACAGGTGCTGCTCATGCCGCATAGCTTTGTATTGAATTTATCCACTTTGATCTCTAAAACAAATAAATACTCTGTTAAAAAATGGAACATAACAATAAGAAACGGCACATGCATGCAAAAATAAAGCACCTAAAGGAATTTCATATATTATGATAAACTGTTGGTTACCCGTATGGATTACTGAAACAAATTTGCTGTTTAAAATATCCTAATTGGTGTGTGTCGTGTGCTTGGAACTTCAGAAGATGCTTTTTCACTTACATCAAATGAAGGGATGTGGCAGTTGCATCTACTGATTTCATTTACCTATTAATTCGGTCAAGAGTGTTCTCAATTTTCTTTGTCTTCAACTATGTATGCTTGGTTCCTGTATCTTAGACAGAATGATATAATAAAATTGCTTGCAACTGTTAAAAAATACAGTATTACAAAGCATCTGTTTGTTTAAGAAATAAAAATTAATTTTCTGTCACGAGTGTTTGATAGTGTGAACTTTTTTTGCTGTCTCACAAACATACCGTGCTAAATACACAGAAGGTGTGTCATCTATGTTAGTCATGAGCAAGTAAAATGGAAGGTAGCATTGTGATGAACAAGTACTTGCTATATGTGTCATCACAGTGTAGAGTTCCTATATGTGAAATGAAATACTGAAATCCCAATGAGAATAGTCCCTGTAAGTTCTTTTCAGGAGGGGCTTCATTGATTTTTCCTTAGTAAAGAAAATCTGCTATGCTGTGTGCATCTGCAATGTACTCAAAGACTCATTTGCATAGAGGAGGGCATATCATTGATAGGCAGTATTTAGTCAGTTGTGCTCAGAAAAGCATTTTTGTGAAACTAATATTTCTTCTTCATGGGTTTTATTCTTCCTTAGTGGCCCACTTTTCATATTTTACCTTGTCAGTACTGAAAAATGTAAAGTAGGTTGGTCTTTTTTAATTCTTTCAGTTGCTTCACTAAACATCTGTTAAGCTCCATTCTTTCTGCTTCATGTCATTACTGGGTGAAATCATGAGCATATTTAATCCCTGAGAAAAATCTCCTTGACTTCAGGAGAACCAAGATTGCTCACAACAAGTGAAAAAATTGGAATTTGGCAGCCTCTCAGTTCTAGAAGTTCTTGCATGTATAAGAACTTGAAAACAGTTTTGGCTCAGTAGTGCAGAGATATTTGGTTAGGGGCATGTCTGGTTCTATATTTGGATTACATGTGAAGAAATACAAGACAGGCTTTATTCAGGAAGACAGAATATCAATCCTGCTCCTGTCTTCAGACGAAAAAAAGCTTTTCTGTGGCAGAACATCAACACTCGTTACAGTTACGAACAATTTAGCAAATGCTAATTATATGCAAGTATCTCAAAATGTGGTAGGATGGTTTGACTCTTGTGTGGTCGTAGTTGTAAAAGCTGTGAAGCTTTGGGCTTCTGAGAGCTGACTGCTTTTGGAAATGGCCAAAACAATGGCATTTTTCTGTGACACTTTCTAAGCTGAATGGTAGAGGATAAAACCATGGAAAATAAGGCTTTATTTTTACACTAAAGCACACAGAAAATCCCATGTGATTTTTTTTTTTTTGGTTCGGTTCTCATAATTCTTACGTGATCTCATGATTTTTTAACACTCGTGGTTGGCAATACTCCCTCTAAAGCATATGGCCAAAAATTTCGGCTCATACTAGCACTCAGCCCAGCAACCAATGCTGGCACTGTAGAGGAGAAGCAGCCACCTGGTACCCTGACTGCACACAAGCTGGCAATGAAGCTGGCAAGGAGAAGTCCAAGGAGAAGCTGAGATGCGCTTAACAGGCAACGAGCAGCTGGGCTTGGGGACCATAAACAGCAGCTGGGAAGGCCATGCAGAAGGCATATGTGATAAACTTGTTTTCACCTCTGAGCTGCGGGAAGCCTTACTCATTTTCTCTTTGACCTTTTTGGCTTCAGGAAGCAGTTTCCATTTGTCAATGGAATAAACTCTGCCTCCGTGGTGCCTAATTGAATTGAGAGTCAGCTGTGGATGTTCTTGTTGATGATGCTATAGTTAGTTTGGCAAGAATGTCAAGGTGGAGGTATTTTGGTTTTGACTCTGCACCAGGCACTTCAAAGTTATCAGAAAAGCTCAGTGTAAAGCTGCATGGAAATGTGCTGCTGTCTAGTTGCACAGAACAGAGTAGATTTAGTGTTTTTCAGAAAGATACTTTATGGGTCATTGCTGGTGCTATTCAGTTACTGCATTTTGATGGAAAAAGAGTCATGAGAAACAGATAAATTTTTCTTAGCCATATGTTTGCATCTTAATTTTTTAAAGGCTTTATGAACCCAATAATATAGGGAGGCAGTATTCTAAATAGTACTTGTTAGTGAAAAAATATAGAAACTTATCTCAGTATATAAAAATTCCTGTAGCTTGTCTAATAAGCAGCTGTTTTTCTTTCGAAGTCCAATTTATAATAAAATAGGTTTTATGGCCATATGTGTTACTGCTGCTTCCTTTTAAGACCTTCACACCCTTAATACTTTATCTGGATAATCTTAAAAACAGCCTTAATGTGTCTGTATTCACTTCAATAACACAAAAATATAAATAGGTTTCCTTCTATACTGCTCATATCAAGTAACTTCATCATTTGGCAGATTTTAAAGAGTGACCTCTCTAACCCAGTGTCTAGCTCTAGGATTTGTAGGTGTGACTAAGGGAGAAACAGGGAAGAAGTTTTACTTGCATTAAAATGAAACTATTTCTTTTGAATATTATCCAATGGAAGATTTCTCTGAGCAAATCCTTATCTTGAAAACTTTAGCAATAATTCAAAAACACATAACAAACAGACGCATTGTGTATTAACGAAAGTTTCTGACCCTGTGGGAATATGTTTCCTAAAAATATGGCTTTATTCACAGTTCAGGTCTCTTTCTTCTGAGTCAGCACTTAGAAAAGCAGGAGGGGAACTCATTTCTGACTTCCTGGAGAATTGCTTTAGGTATGTCTATGTTTCACTTACAGAGGTAGTGCAGGGGAAATCCTATACTGCAACAATTAAACTCATAGAGATATATGAACTTAATGAAAGCCAACTCATGTGCATGAATGTGACACTATTGTTTTATTGCTCTGGCTATGTATTGACATGTTTCACATTTAATCCAATGAACTATTCATGTAAAATACAGAAAAGCTCCCTGGGTTAGATTACAGCAGCCTAGATTTCTCTGCAGCAAGTATGCTAACTCTAAATTTATTATGCTTTTACTAACTTTATATGACTAGCTCCAGGCAGCTTCACAAGAAAAAAGATATGCAGAAATACATATTCAGAGGCACATAGTTCTTCCTATGCTTAGAGAAGTTTGTGCCCATTCACTCTAGGCCCTGGTTTCTACTTTGGATTAGACAGCAGCTAGATAGACAATGCAATTAGTTTTGTAGATATTTTGCCCTTTACTGTTTCAACTGAAAGTGCAAAAGTTTGTGATTAATCCAATAAAGTTAAACACACCACTGGTTTGACAGCATTAGCTTACTTAATGTTATATTGCTGAAATAATAGTCAAATTAGTTTTAATTACTTGTAATAGTCAAATTGGTAGTTAACAGAAGACATGTTTATAAGTTAGATTTCCGACACGACTGTTCCTTATGAATTTGGATGCTCTTTTGTTTCTTGACATGTTATATAAAACTAAAGTATAATCAAATAGAACTTAGTTTGATGATGGACAGTACAGTCAGATACTCTTTTCTATGGCTTGTCTGCCCTAGACATGCAACAAATGTAATATGTACTGTCTATAGAAGTTTCTACTACATTAGCTTTAAACCTATCAAGGTGCATCATTAAGTGAGAATGCTGTTCTGGACTTTAAGTTCAATTCAATCAGCGAAGCAGTCTATAGTGGTGTTTTTACTTACACAAACACAGTGCAAAGGTAGAAATTTCACTTTATCAAGAACTGGAATTTAATCTATGAAGCTCTATACAGATCTCTGTTGTTGGAAAATAGCAATGCTTTAGTGACTAATATGCCAGCTGCTATTCCAGAAGTTCTACTGTAGAATTTGATGCACTCTCCAACTAGTGCATCTGTGTATGATTAGTATCTGTGTTATATTTGAACTTCACATTGCTTTTTTTTAGTTATTATCAGCCAATCCTGGAGAATGCTTCTGGCTCTCAAATAGTTAAGTAGGATCACTGAACCAATGTCTTGTGTAGATTCCTGGACCACCTTTTGAGAGCTTAAATGCACTGTTGATCTGATTTGTGAGAGACAGAAGAAACCTTCTTTTTGCCCACTAAAACCAGCTACAGCACAGTTCTAAAGAGACCTCACAGGAGAGAGAACATTATAGTTCCTCTTGTGACTTAATCAAATGCTGAGCTGCTGATGCTTACCAGGAACCTCCTCTCCCAGAAGTGTACATATGTGTTAGCCTAGAGAGGGAGTGTGATAAGAAATGTGTCTGGGAAGGGCCTCCAGATATCATTTAGTTGTTAACCTGAGGCAGTGTAACTGCAGCTAAACCATTTCTGACAGATGTTTATCTAATGTGTTTTGAGAATGTCTGGAGATGGAGAATCCCTCTCCTTACCTTTAGAATATCATGTACGCAAGTGCTTGTATTTTGTTTGACAGTTCTTTCTCAGAACAAGATCTTTTCCCCTTGAATACATTCTTCATATCTTAAATGTCTACATCTTGCTTCAGCTCAGATAATGATGAATTAAAACACCATCCAAAGCAACAGAATGAATTATAAGTCCTGTAAAACCTTGTGAATGTTTGCAGTGATATAAATGTGGCCAGGATTTCATCCCAAAGTTACAGATAGTGCTGAAGAAGCATTGTTACAGGCCAGGAGATGTGTCAGCTGCAGACAGCAAGTATTTGTGCTCTACAGGGTGGACATGTTGCTGTTCTGCGAAGTCCTGCTTTTGCACTAAAAGTCACATATGATGAAAAAGCAAAAAGTCCTTCTAGCCTCCATGCTTCTATTGTAACTGTCCCTGAAAAGTGCATGAGGAATTCATGAGTGCATTTCAAAATCTTGCCAAAATTCTCCCTGGGGCCTGATAAGTACCATAATTCAAAACCTCTCCTGAGTGCCTCCAGAAATCATTCTCTTCCTATTGATGTGTGTAATCCAACACCTACACACTCGCAGCTCCAGGTTTAATAAAATCTGGGGCCCTTTAGCTGAGATTCCAAAGCAACTTATACTTCCTATCCCCCCAGGTGATGCTACATTTCTGTGTCCAGAACACATTATCTGTTATTGACTTTTCGTCTGGGCACAGATCTTGCAGAATTTAAAATATTTTCCTATGAGGATGTGTTGAAAACATCTGATGGACTTGCCTGGGGTACAGTGATTCATAGACCTTTTGGGATAGACTGTAGTATCAACCTTGTCTGTAATTCTGTGTCTGCTCTGTGCAAAGACTGTAAAGTATTTAAAAGA